GGAGATCGTCCTCGGGAGATCGCGATCTCTTTCCTCCTCGATTGTACCTTTGAGCCCGTGTTCGTCAGTCATTAAATCCGGTATAATCACGGTAAAGATTCTCATCTCTATCGTTATGCGAGAATCAACTTACGTTACTTATCTTAAATGTACTTTCATAAACTCGTAGAATTCGTCTTCGTGGGTCTGTACGGGATAACAGAATTCTTTGTATCGTCGCACAATTGGCAGAAAGTGTAACGGAATAAGGGAGAAGGTCTCTGTTGCCTGCGTTTTTTTCAAGTTGCAAATTGCACGTACATTTTATCAGAATTCCGATCGGAAATATTTCATTACTATTTTTATTTACGTAATGAAACGACATTACGATTAATAATTTTTCCTGCAATTTTACTTATAATATAATGTCGTATTTAAATAGAATTTAATAATAATAAGAATCATAAAGAGAACACGGTAAATCCTTTACCGGGTCAACGTCACTTACCGTTATAGGAAGATGAAGGTGAAGCGCAATGTAATTCTTATTTTCGTTATTTTCTCATGTAAAATTTTAATTTCATAATTCGCGTTACAGCACTTTAGATTGGTTGCGCATCATCGCTTATTCCGAACTGACTTTCTTCATGTTTTCTTAAGGAAAATTTGTAGTTTCATAGACTTTGCGCGGTACGCAATATCCGTCCCTTCTCCACTTCAAAAGTAGAGAAAGAACCCACTCCGGGAACTCGGTAATAAAACTGATACTCCGAATTTGAAACGAGAGCAATGTCGATTCCGAGATTAAGTAAGGAATGAAGTAAGTAGCAGATCACAAGTGCACACATTCGAGTATCGCATTCGTCTTTCTACTTCCGTCATTCGACGGAACGTTCAAGTTGTTTTTTAATTTCGCGCGCAAATAACCGCACCAACAATACGTCTGTCTTTTTTATTCCTAGCAGAGCCAGAACTTTTTTTTTTTCACTTTAGCTAAATATCAAACATACACCGTTTTACATTAAGTTCCAAAGGTGTACATTAATTCGGCTATAATAAAAAAGAATAGACTTCGGTCACTTCTATTACATTCTGCTCCAGCCTGATGGGCTTCGGTCGCGAACGAGATGGACGATCAATCTTTCGTCGTGTCAGAGATCACGAGCGGTTTCGCGACAGCGTCGATACGGCGCGAGAAATAGCGACGTGACGGCGGCCGATGGTTCGCACTGTCGAGAGGTAACTGGAAGTAAGTGGCACGAGCTGTCGCGTGCAGCCACGCCGCTGCAGAACGACAACACAACATAACAGGTGCGTGCTGGCGAGGAAGGGCTCGACGTGCGTGTGCGTGCGTACGTGCGTGCGCGCGTGCGTGCGCGCGCGTGTATAGGCCGCATAGGGATTGAGTCGATATCGCGGACCTGCTCCGACGTGCTCCGTCAACATTTGCCGGTGTCTTAAATCGCTGAAAAATTTATCACTCGCGATAAATTGCACCACCTTCGCGAATCAGCTGTATGTCGGATAATCGAAAGCTGTATAGGTTATCCTGTCAAATTGGCGCCGCGCTTATTGTACGCACAATATCTTTTAAATCCGACGAATATCGTTAAGGAAATATCTGTTATCTTGAGGCAGCACCTCAAATCAAATGGATTTCTTTGATCACTAGAAATACCAAACGATCGTTATTGACCCTTTCTATTTTTTATGGATTATGTAATATTTTTTGTATGAAAGATGGGATTTTGTGTGAAATATTGTTGAACTTTTCAACAATGATACCTTTTATATTGATAAAATATATTTGATTTTTTATTACTTCCTTTATATTTCTGGTAGTTTATTTGTTTGGTCTTTTTAGCGAGTACAAAACGTTGGTACTTTTATAATAATCTGTATTATTGACTAATCAAAATGAATTGGAACGATATTTCCGCTATGTTAATTTCTTAAGTAATTTAAAACTAAGTATTCTGCACTTTTTACATTGTAATATTTTTGTAATGAAGATGATGTGATCGATGATATAGTTGATTGTGATTAAATTTAATTGATGGATAAAATTGAATTCATAAAAAACTTCTAATTTGTTCTTGTAAACTTTCTTTCTACATTAAAAAAAATAATATAAAATATCTTCCTCTCTATTAAAATAATTCACAAAATATTTTATTATCATACTTTAAGTAAATAAAATATCTAAATTTTTATTATTATAATTATAAACTTCCGTTAATATTTTAACGTTTAATATTTAATTTCCCCTAAGTTGTTGCGTTGTATATCATTTTAATATCTATTATTATTCAAACCAAATAACTTGTTTCGAAATCATTTCATTATGTATTTTGTATTAGTCGACTTGAGCGATTGAAAGTGGTCGCACGAGATTTATCGATTAAATTGTTATCCGTTTATCGATTTCGTTTGATTAATCGATTGAGTCTCCGTGGTTTGCGGCTTGATCGATTAATCGGTCCGCTCCTATTGATCGGATAAACGATTAAACCAGTAATCTCTCACGTGGCTTGATAGATTCAATTGGATGAATTGGCTAATTGCATTCGATAAAATTTGTTTTCTTCCGTCATTCGTTTTTACCTTCAGAATGCTTTATAGAAAATTTAATGTTACTCTATAAATTCGTATATTTGTCAAATAGAAAGAACGAGTTTTATTTTGTAAAAGAATTCGATTCGTCGCAAACTTGTTACTACTTTCAACGAAAGAATAAAATATTCCGATGCCCGTAAAGCAAGTCGACGTGTCATGAAAGTCGATTGTATACCAATGGAAATCGTAATGTCGTGAATAACCGATTGATTTCGCGTACTCGCGTCGAAATTACGTGTTCTTCTTTTCTTCGCTCGCACCCACGCAATACACATCGGACATTTCGCCAGGCCGACATGAATTTGGCGACAATCATTTTTGAAAGTGCTGCCGCGGTTACGCGCAATCGGTCGATCGGTCGATCGAGCGAGTGGAGCGAGTGCGACTCGACTTGACGAATCGTTGCGAATCCGATCGAGCAGTTGACATTCCTCGCGAATTTCTCCGCTGTTCTCGCTCACGATTTCTGTGATGATTTTGCAAAAATTGCCGTTTATGTGGTTTCGTTTGGATCTAAGCCTCATCGAGATGGTATGCCAAACACGATTGGCGTAAACAAAGACCAAGAATGACACTTTCATCCCGCATTTTGTTAAATGATGACTCACTAGCTTGAAATTCGATTAAACCGACGACTATTTTGCACTCGTATCCAAGGTGAATAAAGTCGCGACACGTCCGCAACATCTCGTCGTTTAATTACGGCGATTACCATATTTTCCTAGAAAAAATAAAGGATAAACCTGAACACTTTTAGAACTTTACTTCGAAACTTATTTCGAAACTAATTTGCGACTGTCAGAAGCCTGCGCATTAATTTCTGAAATTTTCTTGCGCAGTATATTTGAAGTAACTCTTAAGTATCATAACATCAAAATGAATGCGGATTTAGTTATTAAAAGTCCCTTTTCAATCAATCATTCACTTTAATGTCCTTTTTAACGTTATTCTGACTTTGTTGTTCCCCTAATATTGCATAAAATTAAATTTGTCGGTTGTTTCTTTAAACATTCGCTCATTAGTGCGACATTGAAATGCTAATTAGAAAGGAATTTCCCGTAATATTATTAAAATAAAGAACAAATTAAGTTGGATTATGAAAAAGTAAACAAATTTAAAGGACAGCTACTTAAAATAAAAGACTTTACAATAAAAGATACGGTCATCATAACGCGTTACGTTTAATGCAAAATCCATTAAATTTCGCGGCGTCCGTTCAATTCTTATCTTCCAGCTGAATCAAATACTGTCTTCGAGAAATAAAAAAAGTCGTTCGGGCGCTCTCTATTTTTTCTGTTTTTCTCTCTCAGGCGACAATAAATATACTCGGCGATAAATGTCTAGTAAAAAAAAAATGTACGTTCTGGAAGCCGTTAGGCGAGGTTAAACGGACGAATGCAAATCGAGATCTTACGAATTAGAGACTGTCACCGAACGGGAATCACGTGTCGCCTTCGCACGTGTCTCTATCGATCAAGTGCGATAACTCGCTTTCCTCCGGATGATATCAGTGTGTTAAAAATCCGCTCGCTAGGCCCGATTCATCCATCACGCATCCACACAATCCGCATTCTCAGTGTCGTTTCCTCCGTCTCTTCCTTTTTCATTCTCATCGCGTTTAAAGATCACTTTAATTATCCCTACATGTCGCGCTGAAACTGTGCAAGGGATCCTTCGAGTGTTACGCAATTGATTTATGGAAGAAAATTTCTTCGAATATACCGACTAGCTCTCAATTTTAAATGTCAACTCTTTAATTTTCTTATTAAATGTCAACGGAGAAAGTCAACTTAATGATAAAAACTAGAATTAACCAAGATGAACGTGACACGCGGTAAGAATCAGTCATTTTCAAAAATAAATTTATCAACGTTTTCAATGACTTATGATTATTAATTGTCAACAATACGTAGATGACTTATCGCTTTTTTATAACTGCTTAAAATCTTTTTTACCGTGAAGTGGAATCTAATTCTAAAGAATGAAAAAGGTCGATCAATTGTTATTGTAATTTTTGAAGAATGAGATTTCAAAGTTTAGATTTTCTACTCCAAAGATTTTCAACAGTCGAGAGTTTTCATTCCAGAGCATTAAGAAATTCTTTACGTTTCTACAACTTGTGCGTTTCCTTCTCTTCCTCTACTCCGCATCCTACTTTTATTCTGTCTATTTTACCTTTCATTGCAAAAGCTAAATGTGCCGATCATACTTTATTATATTTTTGCCAGAAACTTTTATCTCCTCCAAGTGATTTTTCCCGGGATATAATCAGTTTCTTTCCGTCGGCCCGTCGGCCGTCCGTCAAAATCCTGCCTACCGTGCCTGAAGATATCCACGAGGATCTCGTTCTCGTTCTCGACGTGGATACCCCCCGGCGAACGCGACAAGCGATCTCTTACACTCACCTGCGAGTAGGTAATTCCCTCGTCGGCGTCAGCGTCGGCGTCGGCGTCGGCGTCGGCGCGCTCGCGCGGCTACACTTGTCGCCCGCGCGTTGCTCTTTGCCTCTTTGCCTCTTTCACAAGCTCTTTCTCAACTGCCGTCCCGACACTCTCGACCCGAGCTGTCGTCGTGACCGCGGAGCACAGTCGGCGACGCACCTCGAACGCCGCGGAATCGCGTAACGATGATGATGATGATGATGATGATGACGATGGTGACGACGACGGCGACGACACACCGCACAGTTCGCGACTGATTGTGAGATGCGGCCGCGGCGATCGGCAGCAAGAGCGTTTCCCTCGCGCGCGCACTCGCGGCGCGAGCTCATTTGCGGCGGGTACCGAAGACACCGCGCGAATCTCTGGCTGGTCCTCCTCTCCTCTCTCCGTCTCTCTCTCTCTTTCTCTCGGAGGCTGAAGCGACAACGTGTGACCTGTCGTGCGGTGTCCCGTGTCACGTATATACGCGGCGCGAGCTTTATACCACAAACCTGAATGATTCCGCGTCAGCTGCTCGTCGCAGCTGCACTGAAGTTCCGTTCGGCGACTTCCACCACCGTATGTCCGCGCGGAGTAACAAAGATCGCGCGCGGTCACCAAGAGAGAGAAAAAGACTAGGGAAGGGAGGGAAGATGTAAGCTGGCAGTGGTAGTAGCAGTGGTTGTATGGTGGTGGTGGTGGTGGCAGCGCTCGCGGAGGAGGAGAAGGAGGACGTCGCCGCGGCGGAGTCCGGAGAGTGGTCTTCTTCGCGAGCCTCGCGAGAGACGGAGGAGGAATTGGCCGCCGCGCCGAGGGAGGAGAGAACGCGTGCACGTGCGATCCGCCGATCCGTCGATCCGCGGAGAACGCGAATAGAGATTGTCGATTCAGACGATTGTCGCAGGTGGAACAAAAGAGAGAGAGAGAGAGAGAGAGAAAATATTCGTTAACATTAAATGTATCTGTTTTCAGCCGTTGTCGCAGCACGGAAAAGTTCCGCAAAATTTCCGTAGAAAGTCATTTCTCGTAACTTCAGTTAGCTTCATTCTTGGAAAGACATTTTTATCGCACTCTTAAATTAAGTAATTTTATATATATATATATAAAAATGTCTTTTCAGGAACGAAGCTAACTGAAGTTACGAGAAATGACTTCTTGCGGAAATTTATATATATATCTATATAGATACGTGCGTGATTGATCACGTCAATCAAAAGTTGATTTTTATTAGATGTGAATACATACGTGAGCAGTTTGATAAGTCAGTGACTTTTTAAAAGGAGCCTATCTTTTTACAACGTATTAATTTGACTCCGATATTGTTACTTATACGCTGAGGAGGACCCAATCTTATGGTCGAAATGTCTGTAATTGGTGATTGACATACATATTGTATTAATATTTGATTACACACGTATACAACTGTGTCGGCTTCTCATTGGCATTCATTTTCCTTTATTGATTTAATCTTTGGAGCCTTTTTCAATTTTAATTGTTATTTTTAAAAGAAGACTATCCTGAAAAATGAGTCGAATTTTAATTTTAAAAAATTAAAAGGAATTACTGACTTATCAAACTTTCCTTATAGATACCTATATTTTAATCATAAATTAAAATAATAAAATATACATATTAACCCTTCATCGATTAAAATGAGCATATGGTAAATCATCTCAGGAGGATTAGACGAATATACATTTGAAATATTATAAATTTAAAAAGTTAAAATTTTTTCAATAATAAAACTCACTCTTTTCCAAAGTTAACACGTTTACGGTCTTTTTTTTAGTGTTAAAATTAAATTTTTCACTACGACGTTATTATTCCATTTTCTCTTAAAGGATAAAATTATATACTGTAATTTTTTGAAGTCAATGAAACTATGTTAATACTATTAATTTGATAACACTTCAAAAGTGATTCGGGTCATTTAAACTCAGAGTAACTGTCGTATAGCTTTTTTGAAGTGTCATCATGAAGTATATGTTAATATAAACAATATAAGCAATGTTTACATTAATTTAAGAACACGACATTAAACTGTAAGTTGCAAGTCACAACGAAAAACACGTACACACACACACACATATATATATATATATACAAGTCTTGTATGATATATTGCCAAGTTTAGATTGACGCGATTAGAATGGCACGTGCGAGCTGCACGCAACTCGAATTCGTCCCGTGTGTCGTTCCACGATGGAACGCAACTGAAGAAGTGGGATGGGCTTTCACAGTCTCCGTCACGCGGAGGACAACGGAGATTGTTAGTGGATTATTTAGAAGGAGCCTCATAAACCTTTATCTGCTGATTGCGAGTCTGAAACATAAGAGATGCTATTCCGTCCCAAGGAAAGCTAGAATAAACGAAGGGAATGGCTAAATGAGTAGCGGATGGAAGCGGCGAAGAGAAAAGCTTTATCTTCTATCCTTCGCGAGTGGAAGGAGGAAGATGGAGAGAACCTCCTCTCTCGCGCACGTACGTGTGTACGTCAAGAGTGGACACATCGATGTACTCATACATCCGCGTATTGACCAAGCGAATCGCTGGTAAATACCAGAGGCCCACAGTCGAGAGTGTATATAACTTGGTATGTGCATGTGTGTTTATGTTTGTGTACGCTTAACGACACACCGCGAAGAACAGACCTCCTCGAGACACCGAGTGCTCGCTCGTTCCCCGAACTGAACGAGCTACGTTCGGAATGCCTGCTTTCACGAGGAGCACCGACAGATAGCCCACCACCTGGACCGCAGCTCCCGCGGTGTCTCCGGATCTCGACCCATCGCGATTAGGTAAAAGCCGAATGACTTAGCTTTCTACACTTTCAGCTCTCGACACTACGTCGTGACACGAACATCGCCGGTTACAGCGGAAGATATAAAGCTTTGTTAGTGTATTTTTCGAAATAATATTAAAATAAAATCAATTACTTATACAAAAGCGTTTGGATGTGTATGAAATATTTCCCGATGTTTTCAAACGCTTTATGAATGGGGTTAAATGGGGGTAAAAGCTGAAAAGACTCTCTTATTTAGACTTGAGAACCGAGTTCAATTTTTTTATTTATTCTATAAAATTTATTTCCTTATAATAAAAAATTTCCTAATATACTCAACACAATTTAAATCTGGATTTGTGGACATTTTTATCGAGATCAACTTCTATCAATCTCAATTAGTCTTAATTTAAATTACGCGAATTGAAACAAGAGAGAGATAAAGAATTGAACTATACAAAGTTTACTGTTGATAGAACCGTTGCTCAGATTTTTTTGCATCATTAACACAATACTATATGAATTACGATTACACAAACAGACATTTCTAGTACCTTCTGTAATTGACGCGAATGTTTGTAAGATCCTCCGGGCCGATCTTCGCAGTTGGTCCTTGAGCGACGAGATGTGCAAATAAATCGTTTAATGATTGGGAGGTTGCAACAGACGTCTGACCATGCAAGGTCAAGTGGTTTCTCCACCGCGGCGATGTTTGAACCTTCTTGCGGTTCATTGATCTGAAGTATGACTGATGATCGATGAGGTATTCAAGCAAGTGTACCGTCTCGCATCTAGGAAATTTGGCGGATGACAAACTCAATTGATCATCACAAGATGGGTCAAGATTATACTAGCAGGCAACAGCATTCTCTTTCCATTACATCGATTAAGCTTAAACAATCATCTACGGAATCAACAAATAGAGAAATAGAAAGGCTGTGAAACTGAAGTTGGAGAATTTTTCCATCTCTAGAAGCGACTTTTACAAAAGCGATTACGATAAGCTTGTTCTTCGCTGGGAAAAAAGTTATAGCATGTAACTATTTTTGACGAACAGATTAATTTCTCTCTATATATCTTCTATACATTCGTTTTTGTCATAAAAAAAGCGATGGAACTTTATCAGGGTTTTACTTGATACTTTCTCTACGTTAAAGTACATGAAAGACGAGGAATCTTTACCGATTCTTTATCCCTTCTTGTTTCAGTAAAAATTCTCAAATCGAGTCTAATCAAAATTGGCAAAAATTAATCCTGATAAAAAAGCGATCCGGATCCAGATTTAAAAGAGTTTAATGAATGTTTTATTATATAATCGTGGACATATTTCACAAAATTTATTTATCGAATTCTCTCTTTTCTTCCAGATCGCTATGTCGTGTCAACATAGCCCGCGAAGGCTGTTAAGTAACACGCAGATCGAGCGACAAGCGCGGTCTCGCGCGATGAAAGATCGAGTTGCGGGCTCGGTTATTGTACAACATATCGAAGACTCTTATCGAGGGACGGGATCCACCGTCTCCGCTCTGTCTCTCCCATCGAGTTTTGTTTCCCGCGCGGCTGTTAGCGACCGGAGTATCATCTACCTGACCGCCTCGTTAGCTCTCTTCGTGGAAGCCCTTGCTCTCTCGTAGTGAGAAACCGAAGAACGGAGAGAGAGATTCTCGAGCTCTCTTGCTTGTGCGGCTATTAAGCATCCAGGTATTACTGTTCAAATCTTAACGTTACATCTCTTGTCACTTTCTTTTATCATTTTATTATTGCGTAATAATTGCGTTATATTTCACCGTCCTCTGTAAACCAAATATTATTAGGCCTGATTGCATCAACGTTACTTTGACAGCGGGGCTTATAATTCTTTCTTTACTCTTTTTGAAGCTGAGAGAGAGAGAGAGAGAGAAAGAGAGAGAGAGAGAGAGAAGGTGGGAGTTTTAAGTCTCGCGTTTAAAATTAAAGCAATAAGAAATGAGCGACAATCAATTGAATCGCTTCGCGAATCGCTTGTTTGAGAAAATGTCATGTAAGCAGCGACAACAGTCGATCTCTAACCCTCTTCCAATCATCCGTCATGTACATCTTACGTATGTTAATTCGTTCTAAAAAAAAGAAACCTATTTATTTTTCAGTCACGACACTAACCGTTAGATAGGCAGATAAAAAAAACTTTTATGTCACTTTAAATTAATCATGCTTGATACGTCAAGATTTCGTGATTGCTTCAATACATCACCGTACTGTCTAGGATTTAAACATTGAATTCTTCAGATCGATCATCAGACTCGCGCCGTACTTCTCGCATACGTCAAATGAAATAGCCGGTTGCGTCCACCAGCTGCGTATACTTGTAAGTATACGTACAAGAGATCGTGCCTATTGTTTGCTTTTGCTTTCTTTTCGCGTAACGGGCGCAAGGTCGTTTGGATTCCACGGTGTGTGTGTGCTCTCCGATTCTTTCGCGGTCGAAAACGAGAAGAGGAATTTCACGAGCGTGTTTGTGCTACATTTGAAAGGCCCGCCTTTCTTTTTCTCTTCGACAAGAGAGCCTTCTCTTTTTGCCTCCCTCCCTCTTTATTTATCTACCAATCTATCTCTCTTTCCGTCGCTTTTTCTCGCCATTTCTCTTGCTACCCTTGACCGGGACAACGTTCATCCGCGCATGTATGCATGCGTGGCCCGGATAATTAATCGCGATTTATTCGTCCCGACATTGTTGATTTTAACGAGCGGCGAAATATTTTTATTGGGTGCTCGAGCCGCGCCGCTCGGCAATAATTTGCACGCAAA